TGGTATAACACAAAATTCTAGGTGTTAAGGTGAGAGGAACTCAATAACTTACATGTAGGATATTGACGATAACATGATCAACAAGGACTGATAAACTGGTCTCGAAAAACGCAAGCAGCAGGAACTGTACTGGAGTCATACGGCCAAGCAGCACTCCCATTGTGATCAGTACTACTGCACATGAATTGTCCGCACACATCATCCTGAAAGAAAAAACCTGTACACCTCAAAGACAGTGATCACGATGGCTGGATTACGGTGCGACTTTGATGACGTCACTAAAGGTCATTGGTAGACTAGACCCTCCATAGTGATTGAGGCCCTCGCCTAACATTTTTATACCCAGGGTGAATGACGGTCAAGGAAATTCTCCTTCATGGCACTGTGAGAATAGTATCGAATCTAAATGTACACGCGGAGAGCACAGACGGGTTGCACGTGGCGAAAGACAATGTGGGCGCTGGAGAGCGTGGCTGAATAAGCAAAAATTATAACTTTAATAAACAATAAAGTTAAATCATGAAAATAATAATTTCACAAAAAAAGAGAAAAAATAATGAAGTTTTTTTCTGATCTTCGATGACCGTATAGGGGTCTTCAACCGATTTCCCCCAGCCCCCACCAATTACATTCGATGACGTCATCAGCACCGCAAGCCTTCCAGCCATCGTGATCTCTGGCTTTAAGGAGAAAAATTGATGGGCTCTGATCAATTCCCCAGGGAATCGCCAGGCATCTGACTTCCACTCAATATCGTCAAAACGTTTTTCCGCTTTCTATTCGGTATAAAAAATAAACGAAAAGTAAAAAAATAGTAAGAGATTGAAACCAAACTTCTACGAGTAAACGAACTGACTCTGGCACTCCAAGCGTAAACGTGCGCGTTTCTTGGAATTGTTTTGAGAGGAATCCCCGTAGAAGCATAGCCCACTGTATAACGAACGCCGACAGTAACAAATTCACAGAAACCGCGGAGAAACCGTATCTCTGAAAGATGTAGCATTAATTTTAGTAGTGTCTAATCTTGAGCATGTAAAACAGTGCAAAAAATTTTTATCAAATAAAAAAAACATGAATAAAAATTTTCTTCCCATGTGCCGCGCAATCTACCTCATTCAGAATCGTAGTAGCATTTGACTGCGGTTTGCCCCATAAAATGACTTGCCGCAGCCGTATGTTAGGCAAGTTTAGTTATAGTTAAAGGAAGCGATTACGATAAAGAGGGAGCGCATCGGGAAGCATATGCACCACACGAAGCAGTTACTTGGCTGCCAAGGAGGCGAGGTGTGGCGCTTTCACAACGAAAGGTGCGCTGGTTGCTGAGCAGGACTTCGAAAGCACTCCGCCCCCAAAAGCGAGTGAAAACCAACGCCAAAAAGGGGTCCCATTTTGAGTGTTCTTGACGGATTTTTCTGCTTTTTCGCCACTGATGTGCCATTGAGCACCACCACGTCTCCTCCAAAACTCTTCTTGAATGTTTCGTAATCGCTACCTTCAAGTGACCCTGAGAGATGGAGGGCCTGGCTTGGCTCAAGGAGATTCGATCCCAGATTTGACCCACTGACTGCGTGCGTGGTCAGCGGCTCACTTGCACTTACGCCATCTACTCGCCTCGAGTATATCATAGAGCTAAGTAAATTGTGATGTTCCAAATTGCGCTGTATAAGCCGAAATATGATAAATTACCAAACCAACCACAGTAAATAGGTAATAATAATAAATAAATAAAAAATAAATAAATAAATAAATAAATAAATAAATAAATAAATAAATAAATAAATAAATAAATAAATAAATAAATAAATAAATAAATAAATAAATAAATAAATAAATAAATAAATAAATAAATAAATAATAATAAATAAATAAATAAATAAAGTATTGTATAACACACATTCCGTCATAATGGCAATAAGAACTGTAATAATACGCCTGCACTACAATCCTCTTCTCTGCCGAGCGTTAGTGCCACATCGCAGGTCGCGCTGTCGTTGTAGCCGTCATCATGATTTCTATCCAGAGCAGCAATCGCGCACTCGCCTTGGAAGAGAAACTGAGGAATCGGCACACCAACGGTGCATTGACGGTCTCCTAACTCTTCCATCGATAGTAGATAGCTCTTCATGTGACTTCTACTCTTGCGCTCGTAAGCGATGTCCGACTTTGCAAATCAAGAGAATCGCTAGCGTCCCACTGCGCGTTCCGCCAGCTCTATTGGCTGTACCGCAACGCGACTGCGAACGTTAAAACGATTCGCAAAGTTATGACAATCGGCGCATACCAGTATAAAGAGCGGATGCCATTGTGGAAAAGTTGGAAGCGATTCAACTAGAGAAGGCTAGAAACATGGGGAAGTGATTGAAAACTAGCAACAATTAGTGAACTATGTGATTTGTCTTCATCTTGAAGCCTTGGCATTTCGCTGCTGTTGTAGTTGTGATTTTTACTTCTGCCTGTAGGGAGTCAATTGGTAAATTTGTGTTATGGCCGAAGTATCAATGACTTTTCAAAGCCTGAAAATGGCCTAAAGCTTACGACGGATCACTACGCCCCCCTCCAAAAAAAAACCTCTCCTCCGCATTAGCATTTCTGAAATTTTACCAGGAACGCTGGGAAAACACCCAAAATTCAGCCTATAAAGGTATAAGCTACTTCCTGAACTTTGAAAACGACGAGTCCGTCCAAACGTTGGCCACAATAGAAATTTATGACCCAACAGCCTCAAGGCGGAAGTAAAAATCACAACTTTGTGCGCTTAGTTAATTTGATTATTTACGCAGCAATCATGCTCGATATTAATGGTGAAAGTTATGAACTTTTCAGAGGAGAATGTTTATACAGAATGAAATACATGTACTCACCTTCAAAAATGCCATGAGGAAGCCGAATCCGACAAAGATCATCAGATGTACGTCCTGGAACACTAAATTTTTCAAATTTCTTTCGACGTTTATGTCCACAGTCATTACAAACCACTCTCCCACTCTCTTCAACGATATGAAAGTAGACTTTTTTCCTATCTACTAATCGGGAACACATGAGGTTGCGCTGCATCACTTATATATTACTGTTGCATGTATAAGTCGGTGTACAAAACGTCTAAAATTAGCATTAGCAGACTTCGATTAGGCCTGAACCCCTCAAATATTCCTCTCTCCTATTAAAACGGAAAGGTAATTTAAGCAATCATATAGTTTTTTTTCTAGTTTTTTCTAGTTCTAGTTTCTAAGCCTGTATTGCCAGTTGTTTCTAATTCTCAGCCCTATTCATGTGAAGAGGTTGAGAGAAGACGTTCAATTGTCATTAGTGGTATTCCGGAGATTCATGCAGGAAATTTTTTTGATCGTGTTCAGTATGATTATCAAAGTGTGATTAATGTTTTGTGTCATTTAGAAGTTGACTGTTATCCTGTAACTGTTTATAGGCTAGGTAGGTGGGTTTTAGGCAGGAACAGGTTGCTTAAAGTCGTCTTGCCGTGTTCTAGGTTTCAAAAAATAGCTGTGAAGCGAGCCCCTCGCCTCAAAACGTTCCCTGGGAAGGGCGTTTTCCTAAGGGAATCGCTTACTCTCGAGGAGCGGAGTAAGAGGCGGGAGGCTCGTTTAGCGGCTAAAAATGATGCAGTAGCTAATGTCTCCGTGAATGGCAATGTTTTTCTCCGGTTCAAACAGTCAGTTGTACTATCCCTCAGTCACAGACAATTTATGATTCGGAAAACTAGCGAAGTATCTTCGGAATCTATCCTCTATTCATCATGATCAAAATTGTAGTAAAGAATCATGGGGCCCTAAGAAAGCTATAAAATGTCTATCTTCTAATATTCGTTCCATAGTTAGGAATGTGCAATCTCTGAACTTTTTGCTTGCGAAATCGGAGTATGGCGTTATTGCTCTATCTGAGACATGGTTAAATTCCAATACTGAGATTTCTTCTTTGCTTGGTGTACTAGCTGCTAGCTATGAGGTATTCAGAATTGATCGGAAGCGTAAGAAGGGAGGAGGCGTTGCACTATTGATCAATCGTATGCTTTGCCCTGTATTTGTTTTTGGGGAAACTATAGCTAATGGGTATGAGCTAGTTGCAGTGGACACTCACATAAATGGGAGGAATTTGAAGAATACTGCTCTGCTATAGATCCCCTGGCTGCCCTAGTGAAAAGTGCGAAAAAATGGTCAAATGTATAAGTGATCTTTGCGTAGGTGCTCATGTTTGCCTTCTCACAGGAGATTTTAACTTCCCCGATATTGATTGGTCAGATACTCGAGCTCAGAGTGCCGGGGTCGCTCAGAAATTTCTGGATATGGTTAGAAACCACGGTTTTCACCAGTATGTGAAAACTGGGACGAGGGGTGCCAATGTTTTGGATCTCTTATTCTGCAATGATAGTAACATGATAAGAAGCGTTCAAGTGGGACCACCGCTAGGGACAAGTGATCACGCGAGCATTGGGTTCACTCTGAATCTGCAAGAGAAGTTAAACAGTGTCGTACATGTTCGTGATTTCAAAAAGGCTGATTTTGTAAGAATCTCTTCTTTTCTGGACTCGATTGATTGGTATGGTTCCTTCATTGGGCTTTCTGTTGATGATATGTACGAAATGCTTATTTTCGTACTTCAGCAATGTATACACATGTATGTGCCATTGCGGAAGGTTCAGTTACGCAAAGCCCAGATCCCTACTTTCCTCCATTCGCTTTTCGATAAGAAAGTGAGGGCATACAAAAAAGCTGTTGTAACCAACTCTCCCAGTGATTGGGATTTTTTCAAAGTAATAGCAAAAAAGTTTGAAACTAAAATGTATAAGTATAGTTGCTTAATTGAGAAGAAAACTGTTGAAAATGGGAGCAGCGTTGCTTTGTTCAAGTACATTTCCTGGAAGACGAAGTCAAAAGAAAGACTTCCTGTTTTGCTGAAACCAGATGGTTCTCCAGTTCTTTCTGACTTTGATAAGGCCGAGCTTTTTGCCCAACATTTTGAAAAGGTTTTCGTTGCAAATAGAGATCATGATAGTGTCATTGCTGAGTTACCAGGAGTCTTCGCTCAAATGGAAGACTCACTGTGGTTTAGCGAAAGTGAAATTTTTGAGATTCTTTCTAAATGGAAATCAAAGTCCTCTGTCACGCCGGACGGCGTTCCGTTTCGGTTTATCAAAGAGATACTCCCCTCGATAGTTGGGCCCTTGCGATTCATATTTAACTTGAGTTTTGTTCGAGCTGAGGTTCCTAGGAGATGGAGGCTCTCTTATGTGGTTCCCATCCCCAAGAAACCTCCATATTCGGACGCAAACAATTACAGACCGGTCAGCATCACTTCGGTTTTCTGTAGAGCTTTCGAAAGAGTAGTCAAGAGGGTCGTCGTAGAACACCTTGAACGTCAGCGGATCTTACCCGACTGCCAGCATGGCTTTAGGAAAGCGAGATCGACGGTTACTCAGTTGCTGGAATCTTTAAATGATTGGACAACCTCATTAGGAAAAGAAGAAAAACGTTGATGTGGTTTACTTTGACTTTTGTAAAGCATTTGACAAAGTGAACCATTCCAAGCTCTTCGCTAAGCTCAAACACATCGGCATTCACCCAAGAATTTTAGTATGGATCAAGGCCTTCTTGAGTCATCGCTGCTTTCAAGTTCGAATTGGCAAAGCCTTTTCTAGTGTTAAGACTGCCCCAAGTGGTGTCCCGCAAGGAGGGGTTCTTTCACCGGTGTTGTTTTGTATCTATACATACGACTTACCTAGGGTGGTGGAGGATTTGAATGTCAAATGCAAAGCATTCGCAGATGATGTCAAGATTTACCAGGAATTAGGATCTCGAGAGGATGCTGAGACGCTCCAAGAAGCCATTGAGGCAGTTGTCAAGTGGTCCGATGTGTGGGAGCTACCATTGGCTTCCAACAAAACTTTGGTTTTGCATCTAGGCAGGCCCCAG